TAATACAATAGAAGAAAAAAAAGAAGAAGTCGATCATTTTTGTCTTTTGATAATTTAGCGTAAAATTAACGCAAATTAGCGTCAACAGCATATTTTTAAAACTCCGATTAGCCATTGACCAGGGCAGGTCTCCGAGTTATCGGGACACCGGTCCAACGACCAGGTCGTCGGGTTTAATTGTTGAACCAAATAATTAATTTTGTTGAATTTTAAATTATAATTATAATACTATTACCTTATAAAAAAAAATATATCTAAATTCTATACCCAAAATTTAATATATTGTATTTTATCGTATATATTTATCACATAAATATAAATATACATAATTTTATTTAAATAATATAACAAATTAAATAAAAAATATTTATTGGTCGGTCAAACTGACTTGACCTGGCCGAATCAATAACCGGTAGTCCCTTGCTACTCGGTCCAAACAACCCATCCAAACCAGTTCCCACCCTAAGTTGACCCGCCGGGTAGATCCAATTTTAAAACAATTGTCAAAACCACAAAATTGAATAAAATATTTATTTATTTATTTATTTTTTAGTGCAAAGAAGATATTCAAATATGCTAGTATAGAACTCGACGTGGGTACGAGACCCCAACAATATCACGCTCTAGCCATGCACGAACTTCAGGAGGCGGTGAGGAGAGACGATGCAATCCAACCGGAAAGGATCCGCCAAGCTCGCCAAATGATTCACTGCGAAATTCGCTTCTCTATGTACATGTTGGATACGAACTGTCCACTCTCGCGTCAGTAGGTAATTGAATAAAATATTTTTTTTTTGGTACAGGGACCTTCCAGTTTCCGGATCCACAGGGGAATAGACTAATCCGGAATCGAGCCGGGTAGGACCACAAGAGCGGCAAAGCTCTCCCTCAAGAGTTTAATAAAATATTTTTTTATTGAATAAAATATTTAATAAAACATAGAACTACATAGGCATTTAGAACCGCAAAAATTGAATAAAATATTCCAATAATGAGTTAATAAATTCAAGAAAATGAAAAAAGGAACAAGATAAAGTAGAAAAAAGAAAATAATAAAAAGAAAGAAAGCCATTCAATTTGTCATATCTTGGTTCCTATTTTTCATTTATTTATTTTTAGCCCTCGATTCTTTCCGGGCCTCCCACTCTACCCCTTTGCTTCTTAATCGTTCCATTGTTCGCATCAATTAATATCTAATTTAATAAAGAAAAGGATAAAAGAGATGCTTAATAATTAATAAATGACCCAGAATGTTTCCTTGGGTGTAAGGTAGTAAGGACAAGTAGGTCTCATTTGTAAATATTCGTAGTGTTTTTATTGCATTGACCAATATTCCTTGATAAATTTTGGGATATGGATTAGTGATATATATTATATCTTATCAAGTAAATGTTTCTTAATTATATATAGCTGCAGAAGATAATTGAGAATTGATAAATTTACTTGTTGGATAAGTGAGTAAACGATGGTATATTATAATGACTGTGTTAAACTGTGTGTTAGATCGCATAAATTTTGAATTATCAATTTGTATTGCAACACCGAGATAAGTAATTTTGCGGAAGCACAAATAAGAGATAAAAGTTTTTTGGAGAGCGTCCCACCACCTCTCAAAGATCTTTCATTAATAGATCAATACAACTTGGTCTTATGCAATTAGAGAACTCCCTTATAGCCTAGCCAATAATATACTCGATCCTACCAATTACTTCTCTGGCCACAATCCGTCGACTTTTACAAACTCGAATCCCTCGAGCAAACCATACTTAATCCCTAATTAAGTGCCACAAAAAGTGCCTGAAATAAAAAATGAAAAACCATGAAACAACACAATTCTTCAATGGTGTTAGAACACCGAAGCACTGACTATCGAAATAAATCTACAAACAAATTACCTTGAACTCTCAATTGAATGTTTGATCATAACATATCAAATATCAAACTCTCAACAGTCTTCAATTGTTCTTCAAGAAAGAATAAATATATATACACACCTACATATATATATATAGGGGTTGGTTCAAATAAAAACCAGTATTGGTGTGAGAACCGTGAGAACCAAATTGTGTTGCTATATATATATATAAGATGTGGTTCAAATGAGAACCAAGTCCAAGCGTGAGAACTGTTATTCTTAATTTTATGTAGTGGTATGATTGATTGCGTTTTGGTGCTATTTTTAACTAGGATGTATTTTTATTAAAAATAACAATAAAACTTTTATTAGCATTTGTGAAAATGATAACACCTTACAATAATAAAACTAGTATCATACACAATTAAAAATAGCATCAAATATGATTTTCACGATTTTCACACCAGATTTTTGCTTGAAAGATTATATTTTCAACATATTATATTTGAACTACATGACACATATAAATCTTTTAGTGACTTTTCAACTTATAGTTAATTGTTAAAAAACAAATTCTTATATATATATATATATATATATATATTTGGGTAAAACTAGTAAGTGATGATTAAAAAATTAATTGATAAAAAATAATTGTTTAACAAAATTAAGTTAACAATTAGTAGAATTAAAAATTTAATGATTTTTTTCGAAAAGCTAGCTACAAAGCCTTATAAGATAAACTTATTTAAAAAAAAAATAAAAAATAAAATATTTATGTGTATAGAAGGAAGATTATAAGTTAATTAAATAGCATGTAAATCAATTTTGATGTTATCAAACGCACTTGAAAGTACTTCTTCTTCTTTTAATTTATTTTTTTATTTATTTATTTGTTTTCTTTTTTTCTTTTTTTTTTTTGGTATTGAGAAGGAAAAGTATATAAAAATTGAAACTTGCTCTTTTTGTCGGGGAGAAAATGGGAAAAAGATAGCAATAAAATATATATTTTTTTCTCCTTCAACGAAACGTTTTTTCGGTCTGAATCTGAAGAACGGACAGGCAAAGATCCAAATTATAACAAAACAAAAGCAGGTAATGAAAACAATCAATCAATTGAGCTCTGTTTCTGTTCAGCTACAATGTTTTAATAAAATTCTTTTCTTCATTGCTTTCTTTCTGGAAGAGAAAAGCGATAACCCGAATCTAGTTAATCAATAGATACAAGACACAAGCTACGCATATATCGATTCACACACGCAAAGAGAAAAGAAAACACACATATCCACAGAGAAAAGTTCTGATCTTGTTTTCAAATCTCTCCTCTTTTTTCCTCTTGTCTTCTCTCCGCACATAGATACAGCCCACCTGTGCAGTTGTATGTATTCGTCTCTATGTGTTTATAGCCTTCATTTTCTCGTTCCAAGATTGCATTTTTCCATGTTGTCCTAATGTCCCTTTTTGCTATTTGTTTGTGGGGTTTCTGTTTTCAGTGACTCAGTTAATGGGCACCTGCAGTTGTATGTATTCGACTCTGTATGTTTAAAGCTTTTTATTTTTCTCTGTCCAAGATTGCGTTTTTCCAGGTTATCCCAATTCCCTTTTTGTTCTTTGTTTTGTGGGGTTTCTGTTTACAGTGATTCAGTTAATGGGCCTGGCTTAGTTCTCAAATAATTGATGTTTTTTATGCTTACTTTCATTTTTCTGGTATGTTATGGTTCTCTTTTCTTTGTCTTGCAGGATGTTTCAGTGTCTCCCTAGCGAGGGTTCTTACCCATTTTGTTGTGGAATCTCATTTCAGTTGTGAATTATTGGGATTTTCTGACCTATAGATAAAATTAGGTGTGTTTGATTTTTATTTGTATGGGGAATAAATTGGGGAGGAGGAGGCAGGTGGTGGACGAGAAGTACACTAGGCCTCAGGGGTTGTACCAACACAAGGATGTGGATCACAAGAAGCTCAGGAAGTTGATTCTCGACTCAAAGCTGGCACCTTGTTACCCTGGTGATGATGACTGTGGATGCGAACTCGAGGAGTGTCCTATTTGCTTCTTGGTTTGTACACTTTATTTTTTAAATCATGTTTATACCTTTCGGTTTTTTCGGGTTTTCATGCTCTTTTAATTAAAAATTCAATGTGATTGGAATGGCCCCCTTTGTAGGTGTGATGCTACTAGTAAATTAGATTGAACTTAAAGGAATTAGCTTCTTATGGGGAAAGATTGTTTCAAGAACTCGCATTGGTATTTTAGCGTTTTATTATGTTCATTTCTGAATATGGAGTAATGCCATCGAATTTTTACAAAAAATGTTGGTGGGCTCAAGTGAGGTTGTTCCTACCTGTTCTCTAGGAATTCGCATTGGTTGTCTATCAATGCTTGATTTAAAATTTATGTTCAAATGTTTTTGTTGTAACTTGGCAATAATTTAGAGCTCTTAGTGGAGTGTCTCTTTGTCTTGACGGTGTTCAATATGATGCTTCAGTTTTTTGCATCCATTTTTAGGAACTAGAACTAGAACACCTGCTTGTTCTTTACGACCCAATGTTTGCAGCATAAAAGGATTTCTGTTTTATTATCCCATTTTTTGCATAACCTTTGTGTTCAGTGTTTTCCTTTGCTTTGATGGTTTCAGTATTATCCAAGTCTGAATCGGTCAAGATGTTGCTTGAAAGGCATTTGTACTGGTAAAGAGTTTTCTCCTTTATTTCTTAAAATTTTCACATTACTATTTTACATTTTGTTTTCTGAGTCTATTGAATTATTTCCCCTTTCAGAGTGTTTTTTGCAGATGAAGACTCCCAATTGCACCAGACCTACTCAGTATCCTCGATATTGTTGAATTTTGTTATGATGTTTTTCTTGTTTTTACCCCTTTCCATTGTCCAAATGATTGTTTATATTCTTAACTCTAAGAAAAGATGTCCGTTTTGCAAAACATCAAATTATGCTGTTGAGTATCGAGGTGTCAAGACGAAGGAGGAGAAAGGCCAGGAGCAACTTGTGAGATTGATTTGCTGTAATTTTTTAAATTTATTTCTTCCAATACATCTAGTGATAGCTTCATTGTTAAAAAATTTTCTTGAACTTACACGTGTAGGAAGAACAACGAGTTATAGAAGCCAAAATAAGGATGAGACAACAAGAAATTCAAGATGAAGAGGAAAGAATGCTTAAACAAAGAGAACTCAGGTCTTCCAGCAGTATGATAGGACCAACCGAGGTTGACCATTGCTCGACTCTAGGTAAATGATTCAAGTACATAAAATAATTTTATTTATTTATTTTTCTTTTGGTAGTTTACTTATTATCTGTTTTTATACACAGCACCATCTTTTGCATCTGCAATTGAGAGTGAAGAAATTGTTGCTTCCCATGAGGGCATGGCAATTAGGCCATCTCCACGCCGAAGGCAAAATAGGTATCAAGTTTTTGTTTTATTTTTTTATATATATATATATATATTTTTTTTTTTTTTTCATTTTCAGCATGGTTGATTGTGAAATCAATCTTATTATCGATTTTCAGTTAATATTTGTACTCGAGATTCAGAATGTGTTTGATGTTAGCTAATTTGAAGAGTCTCATAAGCTCCTACCTCTGATAAGCCGTCTTTGTAACGCCGTCTTTGTAACTTATGAAAATATGATTTTTTGTTATGAGTTGAAATAATTGGCCAAAATTGTTAATTGATCTTTTGAGTTGTGATTAATGTCAATTTTGTAGATAGAATGATAAAAGTCTAGCAAAGGTTTGGACTCACGTTTTTTAGATGGTTGAAGCTGTATGCGAGCAAATGATATATCACAGTAAAATACTAAAAGCTACATAATGATAAGAAATCAGATTAGAGAGCAAATACAATAATAAAAGTCTAACTCAAATTACCTTTAATTATATTAACTAACCATTACTTACACATCATTTCTCTCTTACTTTTACATCAAATCATCTTTAACTATTTTACTTCAGATATTATTTAATATAAATTCAAAATCTCACTAAAAAGCGGTTTTGAGCAGATTTTTTCTATCCAAGCACGCCCTAACTTTTTACACTCTTTATTGCCTATATTGTCAAGTTCGATTTTCTTGATGTACTTTTTTTCATTCACACATATCATGAATATTTTGATATGTAACCTCATTCTTCTTCATATTTTCAAGTCATCTTTCTTTAGCTTATTAATTTTAAATTGTGCAAACAATGGCTGAGCATTTCTGATGATTAAGGCCACAGTTCATGTTAATCTCTATCTCTTTCTCTCTCAGTTACACATACTTGTTGATGAACAATCATTCACACTGATATATCTGTGTACATAAAAAAAAAAAAGTATTTCTTACATAAAAAAATATTGCTTTGGCTCTGGATTCAGGGAGGACGAGTTTGACCTTGATCTCGAGGACATCATGGTAATGGAAGCTATTTGGCTTTCTATTCAGGTATACTTACATTTGTTCAGCCAAAATATTGCCATTTTAATTAGAAATTCTGAAGTTCTACAACACCACTTTTTTTTTTTTGTGTGTGTTGCGACCGTGATACAGGAAAACGGGAGGCGCCAGGATCATCCGCCCTACAGCGATGAATCCCAAACCGAACAATGCATAGCGGACGATCGTAGCCCCTCGCCTTCCGGTGGTCTAGCATGTGCCATAGCAGCACTCGCCGAGCGCCAGCAGTCAAACCCCGAGACCCCCGAAAATTACGCCTCATATGACCGAGAACCAGAGGATTACTAC